CTGCTGATCTGCTTGGGCATGGTTCCACTGACTTCAGTGGCATTACACCCACTCATGCCACCTGAGAATTTCGCCCATCATGCTTTTCTCAGCAATTTATAATGTTTAACTGCTTTAAAAGGGGCTTCTTGCCACTTTTTGCTTTCTGTTTGTTGTTCTTGGCAGTTGCAAAATTGCTATTACATCTAGTTAGCAAACACTTATTGTAGTAGTTAACCTCTTAAATGGCTGCAGATATATTCTGGGCTAGGGTTGTGGCTAGCTGTGTGACCTGTAAGCTGCTGGTGGAGGCAGGAGGGTCGTTTTTGCTAATGACTAGATGTAGCTCTGAGGATGCCCTAATAGAGCTTGGGACTGGGAGGAGGCTTAGCTGTCAAACAGGGTGTGTTTTTGAAAGCCATTACAAGAGCTGGGTTTGCATCTCTCATCGGCAGGCTTTTGGCATCAGATGCTATTATGGTTTGCTTAGTTAGCTGCTCTGGATAAATCTCTTTTGTTATAGCACTAGGAAAAATTGAATTTTCCTTTTAGTGAATGGCTTGGCTCTAAGATAGCTCATCAGTTTGGCTCACGGGTGTTTGAAATGCTACTAGTGTGATTGTAAAGCTGAGGTGTTTAAATTGCACAGCTCTAGACTTCTCCCTGGTAGGGAAAAATACGGAAAACAATTTCTGCCTTTAAAAGAGGAAGTAGTGTGCTTAGTCAGTTGGGATGGGAGAGAAGCTTGTGGGCAAGGTGCTGTGGCTTAGTGATGGACAAGGCTTAGGCTAATTCCCATTTTGTGGTGGCTGTGCGAGAAGAGTTGGGCAATTAATCCACAATTTCAGCCCTCGGCATCCAGGCATCTGTTCTTTCTGGCCCTGATGCCATCTTGCAGATTAATCTTAGGGAAGTGTGATCCCACTTGTGGCTGAGTTCTCCACCTGTGTGATGGTCTCAGCAGTGTTGAACACAGAACTGTGATGTAAAGCACAGTTTTTGCTAATGTGATCTGAGGCTTCCCAAGGAAAAATGCAAGATGTTTGTATTCCTTCACATGGCTCGAAGTCATTGCATTGAGCACACAGCAAGATTTAGGGAGAGTGGTGGGTGTCTACCTGCTGCAGTAAATTAATTTTGTGGAGTAGAAATGAATACCCTGTGATCCTGTGGGTCGCTCTAATCTGTTCCAAGCAGTCGTAGCACCCACTGACTGCTCTGAAGCTCAAAGAGTGGGAGAATTGCCCTGATAACAGCTGCATGCAAAGCAAGATTATCTGCATGACTTCATTTACTGTTTGGAAACCAGGCTGCCTTCATTCAGAATTTGCACAGATGCATCTGCCTTGAATCAGCAGTGCTCCCTACAGTCCGTAGCCAAGTAGTCTCACTCCCTGAACCTTCCAACTTGTGGTGGATGATGGAGGAGGAGAAGGGGAGATACACGCTCTCTGCAAGGTGGGAAGTATGTGTCAAATGTAGTCAAATAGTAAGGCTGCATGGAAAAGCTGCTCAGCTAGCTATAATTAGACCTTTGTGCTGCTAATGAGAAATGCCAGTTAATAATACTGTTACTCCTTTGTAGGGTTTCATCTTCCCTCCCAGCCCTTCACTTGACAAGCATTAACTCACCCTCACAACTGCCATGTGCTTGGTGGTTGGTTTTGCATCCCGTGCTGCTGATTTGGCACGCAGAGGTTGCGACTTGGTTGTGATCCCAGGGGTGTTAAATAGCCGGTGCCTGAAGTTAAGATACCTGCGTCCTAGCTGTGCCAGAAGAGATCTTCTACAGACCTAAGCTGCCTTGGGTGCTAAGCCTTAGCTCTCCCCTGCCAAAAGAATCTGACACGCTTCAAGTCTCTTCTACTTTTTCTTAACTTCAAACTCTCACGCTGTTTCCACCTTTTAAGAATTTGAACTGGGATTTTCAAAGAAATCTACTGGAATTAGATGTTCAAACGCTGCTGAAATTCCAGCTTGTGTTCATGAGAAGATCACAGTCTGAAATTGTAATTTCTCTCGTCACGGTTGTTAAGAAGGAAGATAAGGAATACTGCCACTTAAGAGAAAGTGTGCCTCTTTCTTCTGCCAGCCTGGAAGCCTCACAATTACGCTGGCTGTTGGTAGCGTCTAATTAGTGTAACTTTCTCTGCAGCTTCATCTGTTCCCCACAGTTAAAAAAGCAACAGCAACTAGCGAGTTGTTAAGGAGGATGGTTTAGCTACAGTAATAGGCTTGGTAATTATTTTTGTGATGGTAGTTGTAGACAAGGAAGAAATCACAGATGTCTCGTCTAATATCTAATAAGTATCAAAAGTCCTGACATTGCCTTCTTCCAGTTACTCTTTCTTTAGTCAATTTATTACTGTCAAATACTATTTAAAACTCAATGTTTTAGCAGCAGCAATCACTCACAAAAACCAGTCCCAGCAAAACAGCTATACCCTGGGACTTTAATACATTTGGGATGTCGGGGCAAGACAGAGATAAAACAAAATATGTTTCTAATTTGGAGCCTTGGTGGAAGCAGAGCCACAGCTATAGCCTGGGTCCCTAGCTTATGTCATTAATTAAAGTTTTTCATTTCAGGGTCAGAAAGGTGATCCTGGGTTGTCACCTGGAAAGGCTCGCAACGGACAGAAGGTAAGACGTTGCCCAGAGTGTGCAGGCATCAAGACCACAGTGTGCTTTAAGCCCTGCACATACACGTGGAGGGAGGCCATACTGCAGCCACAAGCACCACAGCTTCTCAAGTAGACTTGGGACTTAAAAAATTAAGACTTAGACCCCGGATTCAGGACTAAAGAGAGTTAGCTAAGGTATTGACAACAGTGCACTGAAGTGCCTGCCACCACAACTTTTATCCAGTCCAAGCGTTTATCCATTTTATGCACAATCTGCAGTGCAAACTTAAGTCCCTGCTGCTGCAAGCATGTGGCTACTTAAGCTGGGTATTTAAACTAGCGCATATGAGATGAGCCACACCTTGCCAGCTCTTGGCATGCTTCTGTAGCAAGAGGCAATCCCAGTATAAGCAATAAAAACCTTGAAGGCAAAGGAAAGCATGTTTTTGCCGAGGAGCTGCGAAACAGTAATTTGTCTCGCGTCACACACGCAGCCCACAGCAGATCACTGCTGTGAGAGCAGCCTTGCTGTCCCACTGGTGGAGAAAGGGAGACTTCTCTGACCGTTGCACTGCCAACGCATGGATCCTGCTGTGTGATGACCAGAGGCCTTTCCACCAAGATCTACTCAAACCAACACAAAGCACACAACTGGGAAGGGTAGCTGGTTTCTGAATTTAGCAACTATTAAGGATCAGAGTTCTGCTAATTCTTTTCAATAAATTACAGCTCCCATTTTTGCTGTTTCACAGCTGAGCGATTTTTACTGAGGCCTCACAGAAGTCTAGAAATGAATAGAAGAGCAATCAGGGCTCCACAACATCCACCTCAATTAGTTCTTTCATTGATGCCTGCACAATACTTCATAACTCATGCCCAGGACAAGAAGCCTTGGTTCTCTTCCTTTCATCATAAGCCTTGCTATAAACACACAGCTAATAGAAAGCATCAGCCATGAAGAACTTAGGCCCTTCATTTGAAACCAGATGCCTCCATGAAGCACAGTAAGCCACACAAATGCAAATGCAAGATGGAGGGTGATGCTAGAAAACATTGAGAAGGCTGAATCTGAAATGATGCTTTTAACTTAACAGCACGAAGTGCCTTTTGAAATTTCTGGTGCACTACTTTGGAATGGCATCACGTGGAAATCATCCACCCGCAGAGTCTGCAACCATTTTCTTGCAAGCATGCTCAGTGTAAGAAAGGGAGAGATCCAGATCACTTTTAGCTCATGTTAACAAGGCTTTATTCCTGTTAGCAGTAATAGAAACAAGGAGTTTCCAGCAGGAGTTTGGAGCGATGCCTAATTTTCGAGCTAGATACTCCAAATGCATTTTCAGTAAGCAGGCACAGCACAGTGTTTGGGACTATAAAGGGGTTTTGATCCTAATCAGAGGAGGGCAAAATGGGCTTCTACGAATGGATTGGATGTTAGAGAGATCTCACAGCAAAGCTCTTCTCCATTCCTATAGTGATTTGGGTATGCCAGCTGGGATGTGATGCAATCCCTTTTCAGAAGTACAGGCCACTGAAAAACCCTCCCACCAGCAGCCTGCAAAGGTTCAAGCCGTGTCATATAGGCAGGTTAAATAATTATACCCTCAGCACCACCTGAACTGGAGCCATGGGCTGAGCCAGTGCAGTAGCATAGTATGAACGCCATCACAGGATTTGGCAGGAGGTACCTGTTGTTCTTGTTGCATTTAAAAGCTAAAATGTTCTTGCCTTGGTGATTTAGATGCTTATTGAAAGGCAAATGAAGCATGTGACTGAGTGAGATAATTGAAAAAAAAGCATTCGTTATGCTGGCAAAAAGCTGGACTTTAGCATCAGCTGCCATTAACTTGCTTGGGTTTATTATTTATATGAGTCAGTTAATAGAGATGATGTTTAAATCTACGCTTCCAGTCAATTTTTGAAGAGTTGCAATTAGAATCAGAAATATCAACAGCTGGGTGCTACTGTCAGCAAAATGATTTCGGTTAACAGTGTCACTAGGCATAGGGAAAATGTCGCTGAAAACTAACTCAACCTACTTGCTTCCTACAGGGAGATGTGGGCTTACCTGGTTTGACTGGGTTCCCTGGACCACCTGGTAGAAAGGTAAGAATATGTTCTTTTCTAGTGAATTAGATCACTGTTTTTATTTCAAAATGTTCTCTAACTATGACTAAAAGATTTAATTAAGTCCTAGTAGCCAGCAAAAAAGTCTTACGCCTGTTTCACCGGTGTATAAGATGAGACACAGGATGAAGCAGCAGCCTAAAGGTTGTACCAGCAGGATTATGTAAGAGTATGAAATGAAAATCTGGATCCAGATTTCCGTTCCTTCATTGTATTCCGTGTCCCACTGCACTGCATTATCGCTCTGCACCCTGACACTGGGTCTTCATCAGCAAGCTGAATTTAGGTCTGGTTCAGCCAATATGTTAACTAAATGGGTCTACAACCGACATCAATACTTAAAGGTTGGATTCAGAACAGGTTTAGACATTCCAAGGAAACCTTGACTGTCTCTCCTGGTAAATCACATTTCAAACAAAATATCTGTATGCCTTCCCTCTATTTTGCTTGGAGGCTGACAGCACTAGGCAGGTTTTACTTTGCTTCCATATTGATGTTTCAACATCATTAACATCAACAACGTACCTATGCCTAGAAGAGGATACGTAGGGATAGAGCACAAGATCCGTCCCTGCCTTCACGTTGCAGCAGTGTGCGTGCTTGTATTCACGCGTGCAAGTCTGCAGAGCAATACCTTAGTAATCCCTACCTGGAGCTCATGTCTTTTATATATCAAGGACGCTTCAGTTGACCTTCCAGTTCAGGCTGTATTGGTAGGTTCGTTTGATTTTTTGGAAGCTGGACCTGTTGCAGGGAGCTGTTTGATAGTTGGGCTCGGTGGACATGGCTCCCCTTCCCAGCAAGCCAATATTGACATAGCCAAGCTGAACGGTTAAAATTAGCATCTTGTTTCAATCACTTCATCAGTCAATGGGCCATTGAAGATATACTGTTCCTCAGGCCAATTAGCTGCACGCAAACACCTACTCAGGTATGCTTTAAGACTCTGGGGAAAGAAAGTAAGTATGAAAGAGTCTGAAAAAAGTCTCCCTCTCCATGATTGTTTGTTGTATGCTTTATATTGGAATCAAATTGCCAAAAGCAGGGGCTGGCTTCGTTTTCCTGCTCCCAAGGCTGGTTGTGCTTGAGGTGCTGTGTGGAGCTAGGAGCAGCAGAGTGATTAATTACTGATCTTTTGCTGTCACAAATAAGTTCTAACAAATAGGGTGGAAAGAATACCATTTTCCTGGTATAACAGCTCGTAAAACAAAACCTTGTGGTTACAATCAGCAAAATGCAATGTCAGGAGTACAAGGACTCATAGTGGAAAAAGTGGAGAAGGAATAGGAGATTGAACAAACATTCCTGAGTCCAGCACATGGCCTTCACATCTGATTTGAACTCCCCCAGGACAGGGCGAAGGCAGGGGTATGCTTCTGTTTCTTCAAGTAATGAGCAAGTTGGATGCTGAAATTTTTCCTTTGGTGTAGCTTAAAAAAACCACCTCCCAGTAGCACTAGTCTGGCAGTGTTTTTGGTGTAACCTGGCTTTTATTAGCATCCTGCATTAAGAAAAAATTTACAGCTGTTGGAGAAATGTTTGGAAAAAAATCTTTTTTTTTCTGGATTCCCTGCTGGCATTCTCCCAGTGAAAATATGCTGGTGTATTGGCTGAAGGTGGGCAACTCATCTTGGCTAGCAGAAAACAGCAACGCCTTGGAAATGGACATCCCTCCTGCTCGCTCCATGGAGTGTGAAAAGAGCTCTAAGGGCTTTGTTCTGAAAACACCGTCTAGAAACTTTCAAATAGGCAAAATATTTCACCAGGGGAAACAAAATACTTTTCCCACTAAATGAAACAACTGGCTCAGCAGCACGAGCTGGAGCCGCAACCAAGTAAGACACAGTTTCGGATAGTGTGGCTCACACCACGGTGCCTGCCTTGTGAGCGCAGACCTCTGCTTTTTGTAGAATGGAAGAGTCTGATCTCGGAGCACCCCCAAAGTCATTTTGCCTGCACCCAGCTACGAGTATATGAAACTGCCTTTCAAGCAGCAGATGTAATTCTTATCCTCTCCACACAGAGCAAACGTTGCTTTTGCTGAGCAGCAGCAGTCGGGAATGCTGGCAGGATTGTCCCCTCTGCCCTCCCCTCTGGGGCCTCCGAGGTGTCAGCGGACTTTGGCTTTTTGGTTGGGGTCTGCGGACTGTAGCTGCCTTGCAGATACCTCTCAGCAGAGCACTGCGTCATTGCTCCCTGCCTCAAATGCTGGGGAGGAGAAAATGGTTGTAGCAAAGTGCCGGATTGTAGACGACAGCAGCAGCGAGAGAGAAGAAGCTTCGCTGGAGTCACTCAGGGAGTAAAGACAGAGCTGAGAACTGGCCAGTGCTTCAAAACACATCCTGTCCTGCAGATCTCATTCGCTGGCCTCTCTGCTCTTCACATTTCCTATCAAAGTGCAGGATGATCCTTTTCAGCTAGGAGAGCGTGGATTATAAATACCATCACAGATGAGTAAATCCTTCACTGGAGTGCAATTTCCTTTCTAAATCACAGCCCTTTGTGTTGAGCACACTGTAATCATCAGGAAGTGTTTGGATAAAAGAGCAAATGCAGTTGTTTTTATGCCCTCTGCCCTGTCATTTTAGTGCTATTTGAAGAGGATTTAGGCAGGTAAATCCTTTCACATTGCAGCCAACTTTACCATACACAAGCTTTTCTGTTTTCTCCTCACTATAATCAACCTGAGACAGAGATAACTGCAGCATACTACGAAGAAACACACATTCCAAGCCTCCCAGAGTTTGGAATTGTATGTTGTGAGGGGGGTATTTAATAGGATGCAACGGTAGTAGAGTGGCTACATATTGAACCTAAGTGCTATTCACTTACAGTTGTAGAGATAACAATGCCGTGTTTGGTGCATACGTTAGCTCAGAAGGTGCTTTGAGCATCTCAAGGGGTTATTGTCTAACCACCTGCTCTGGGGGCACAGCACAGGCTAGGAAGGCCTGTCCTGCAGGAACCCAAGTGGAGCAGAATGATCTGGAGCTGCCAAGCTAGGCACCTCTTTCCCGTCAGTGGAGGGAGCGAGACATCCCTAAGTGCTTGTACACATGGAAGTAGGTGCTCCAGCTGTCTGGAGACGAAGATAGTTCCTGCTCCGGGCTGTGGCTGGAGGAGCTGGGCAGAGGCCCCAGGAGGAAACACCAGGGGTTCCGTGCTAAATCCCAAAGCATGTCTGGAGATGCTGGACCCAGGGCTGTTTCTGTTGGCAGCTCTCTCTGGAAAAGGTGTGGGGAGGCCAGAACAGACGCTCTCCATCTGCACAACACCCTGCTGGTCCACACTCCAGGGACGGGTGATACCGATACTGGGCCTTCCACACCCGGGTGGGTCTGGACCTTCACACATGCCTTCACCTTCAGACCAGACACCCAACTGGGGTAGAGCATCCTCCCTCCTTTCTGCTGATGCTTAGCCTCTGTCAAGGAGCCGGGGAGAGGATGAGCAAGAGAGGATCTCATGGGGCAGATTGCTGTAGAGGGGCAGGGAGTCCCATCTACTGGTCCTGCCCCAAGAGCTGCTGGGACACTTCCAGTTAGGAGCCCCTGGCTGAAATGCACTAACAGAGTTTGGAAAAGGACCTTCTAGGTGGTTCAAGTAAGGGCTAGCTGGCAGCCAAATGGTCTTTTAGGTCAGGCATGGCCTTCTCAAGGGGTGCAGCTCAGACAAAAGAGTGGGCCATGGTACATCAGCAAGGGCAAGCAGGAGAGAATCGGTGAAAAGGGAATCAACATTTTTTCCAGGCCAAAATGAAATAATGAGCGAGAAGGAATGCAAAGGGGAGTGGGTAGTAGCCAGGGTGGCTGAGAGCATTGCATACCTCTGCCAGCGAAGACATAGGCTGCGGGTCTAGAGTAGCCCCTGGGAAGAATAAAAAAGCCGTTAAGCAGAGGTGTGGACCTGGGAGCAAGAAACAGGCCTGGATTCATCTGGTGAGTGAAGGAAAAGGCCAAGTCCTCGGCCAAACCAGCTTTGGTTATGGCTCCCAGAGCAGGGGGATGCTCCCCTGTGGGTTTCGCAGACAGGCAACGTGTGCCGGGAGCCCGGGCTGGGGTCGGGGTGAGTTGCAGAGACTGAGTTACAATTAGCAATTGTAACCCACCCCGAAAGCATTTAGTTATTTCTGTACTATTTGTGCAGGGATTGTTTCTTGTTTATTTTGTCTCTCCGTTTGTTTCAAGTTAAATTTTCTGCGCTTTTTAAAAAATCTTGCTAGTAGCCCAGCTAAAACAATCATCTCTGTAACTGAATTTAATCTTCTAATCTGCTCTGACTCCACTTGATGGAAAGGAGTTTGTTTTAAATAGCTGAAGCAAGGTTATAAAGGGGAGGGGGAAAAAAAAATCTGAAGTGCCTGTCACTTGCAGAATTTACTCAGTGTTTGAAGAGAGCTCTAGGTAAATCCTGGAGAAAGCAAACTCTCTTAAAATACATGCTGATCAGTCGGCAGTTGAACAGGCTACCTTTGTGCCGCTCCAGTGTCTGCATCTCAAAAAAAAACAAACCTGAAAAACTGAAGCAAGTTTATGAAAGACGTGCGAGAATGATTTGAAGCCTGCAACGCTTGCCAACTTGCAAGCTGGATTAAGAAACTAATTCTAATTAATTCAGCAGAGAGAGAGCAGGCTAAGAGACAGCTTGCTCACCATTTTATGTAGCTTCATAATGAAGGACTCTGGATCTTGTCATACCTTGTAATAATTAGGTTAGAAAAGCTGGAAGCTGGACAAATTCAAGACAGAAACAAAATTGAAGTTTCCCGTGACAATAAGTGGTTATTTTGGTGTTTCCTATGGCATTTCAAGTTCTAAAGTGAAAGTTTGCACTCTGAAACATGAGTGACTCATGTTGCGTAGTCCCCCAACTTGCCCAAAGCCAACATTTCACCCTACAAGCCTGTGGTTTCCTAAGGATTAAGGATAGCTTTGCTAAAGGTGTAGATTACAAATAGACAGATGTGAGTGTAGGTACAACTCTAAGTCTGTTCATGGATCAAGTCCTTCCTGAGGAACCACCAGGGCAGACCCCAGCGGGTGCAGGCTGCTGCCACCACACCGTGTTGCAGCAGAGTCTGGGAACGTCAGTGGGGTTTAGGTGGTGCAACCACAAAGCAGCACATTAAAAGTTTGCGTGATTGTGTAGTGCTATCCCATATCTAAAGACCTACTTCTCAGAACTTTACTCCCATCTGCAAAGAGAAATTCAAACCAAAGCCAGATTTTTTTTCTTATTATTATTCATCTCATCCATCCTATTTCAACAGGGATATAAAGGCTACCCTGGACCACCAGGTCACCCTGGAGACCAGGTGAGTCTTCCCAGCTTCCAACACTGAACTTTTAAAGAGGGATGGATTTGCTGACTCTAGTGCTAGTTTGGATCCTGTACAGCCTGCCCAGCATGGACAGCCAGCTCTGTCCCAGGGCAGCTCGGTACACACAGGGGATGCGCTGTGCACATATGCTGACTGAGCATCAGCAGCTGGTGGGAGGAGACTGCCGTCGGGTTTCTAAATTTAATTTCTCATTTTTATTGCTTAACCGTGTTAAGTTTACATGGTGGAAGAAATACCAGCTTACTCTACTCCCCCTTTATTTTTCCTTTCACATTAATTTTACCTGGACTTTACTAACCACATCATATTAAGTACTAACATGTCATTCCCCTCCCAAAGCCCATTCCCTCTCTCCCCTTTCCTCCTCCCTCTTTATTTGGTTAAGTCTGATGTTTGCAGTTCAGCAAAAAAAAAAAGGCAATGAATAGTGAGCCCTGTTAGCAATGATGTTAAAGGATATTATACATGAATCCATTTAGTTTTGAAGAATTTTGGCAGTGCTTCCCCACCAGTAAAACGGTTCCATATGCCAGATATAGATGCAGCCTTACACCTTCTCTTAGCCTCCTTGTTTCAAACTATCTGCTGCTTTCACTGCAGATGGAGGGAGAAGGAGAAAGAGCAACACTTGCTTAATACATGGATCCTATTGACTTGGCTATTGTGTGTTTCCCCCCGTTATTAATTTATTCCAATGCCTACCCTTAATATTTTCTTCCTCTCTATAAATTTGTATCAGGTTCATCCATTCCACCCTCCTTTCCCCCCAGCTCAAAGAATGAAGCAGCTAAAAAGTCTTCCCAAGCGTGACGTTCACCTTACCTTCTGTGCCTTTTCTCTTTCCGTAGGGCGAACGAGGACCAGATGGAAGTCCAGGTGCCAAAGGTTATCCTGGCAGGCAGGTGCAGTAAATCTCATCGTGCTGTGCACAGACTAGGGATTTGGGTGTGCAGGTAGCTAAATATATGCCCTGCTAAATACAGGCCGCACTAAAGACAGTGCAGACGTCTAGAATATGTCTGAATGTTTTCCTTCTTCCCGCCTCCCCCCAAGATGCTGTATCAGTGACACAGTCTTTCAACTCTGGGGGACACTAAGGTTGTTAGAAAGTATTTCATGCCTATGATAGGTAAACCCTGAATTTCTATAGCAAAATCTGACCAATTTTTGCTTCAGTATAACAACAGGGATAAAAAAACCCACAAACCAGCAGAGCAGAGATACATACCTGCAAGCTGCTAACCCTTCACTTTTAGGCACATTTTACATCTGATCTTGAACACGTTAGGAATCTGGGCAGAAGAAGGCTGAAAGAAAAGATTTAGATGAACTTTCATTAGTAAAATTCCCTAGTATAATCATATATATATACACACATAAAATTATACATGGACCATATAAATCGTATTTGCAGCTGCAAAAAAGATGATGCAAGAAAACCAAGTCTTTGTTTTCATTCTGAAAAAATTGCACAAAGGCTGCTTTAGGAATGGGGGAGTACGCAAAGGAAAACGCATCAAAACTGGACACTTTATTGTCATGTAAGATGCTGAGTAGTAGAAAGGAAATTAAGAGGAAGAATTTGTGAGACCCGAAATGGAATCTGTTGGAGGGCGGAAGACCTGGCCCTGTAACATTTTACAGGGAAATTAGTTTGTTATAGTTTTCTACAATGGACACATTAATGTTGGATTACCCCCATTTGTATTTAAGTACGTAGCGAAGAGGCTAGGCAGGTATCAAAGACCCCCAGCAGTCTGCCATGAGCATTTCAGACTTGTCATGAGTTCGTGTGTGAGTTTTTACCCAGATGTGTAGGTTATTAGACTAAACCTGAACTAGATACGCAGAACAAGTCTGCATTCCCCTGCCTCAGACTATTTTCAATTTGAAATTAAATTGATACCTCGCTTAGCAAATTTAGGTGGAATATACAGATGCATGCTGGAGAGTGCAGATGGTAGAACTGGATGAGAGTTTTATGCACCTGACTAAATGCTCCATTCATACTCTGAAAGGCTCTCAGAGATTTGCATGCCAAACAACCTCCTAGGTGTGGATGTGCATTAGATGACTAATATGAAGTGGTCTGAGCGATATTGGTCATACAAGGTTAATGAATGCTGCGTGGCAATTCACAGCAGCGTTCTGCCCATCAGATAAGCAGAGTGAAGTCTTTGCGCTTGACATACGAAGAACAAAAGTGCTTTCTTAAAATGTGGTTTGGGTCAGGAAAGTGACTTTTTTTTTTTTATTAAGGCAGCTTTTTTCAGCATATCTGAATGCTGTGTGTATCCAGAATCAGAGCTGTTTACTTTACTGAGATTTTACTACTTGTTACTCCTGTCAGCTGTGCTGGCTCTGCAGCGCTATGGGAGAGAGAGCTTGGCTCTGTTTGGATTTGCACATCATAGGCAGAATTGTTAACTTCACTGCGATGGCTGAAATCTTTGGCAACGATGCATGAGCCAGGAAAGAGCACAACCTGACTTTCAGATCTCAGACTGAGTGTGCAGTGCTGCCAGCTAAAGAAAATACGGACTTAGCCTTTTTTTTTTTTTCCCCCCTTCCAAAAAAGCCCCACAACATTTGGAACTAGAAAAAATTGACCTGGAAACTTGCTAGAAGACAATAAACGTGAAAATTCATGATGCATTTTTACAGGGTTCTTTTTCACAGTACTTTGAGGAGCAGCAATAGGCTTAGAAGTAGAATGGGGAATGTATTTTGAATTCTTTCCATATCTGTTGATGCTGCAAAGGGTTAGAGATATTGCAGTACTTGCACAGCTAAGTGACTTTCTAGGCTGTAGAAATTTGAGGGGCTTTCTCAGGATCAGCCTGTGTTCCCTAAACAGGCATTGAAATACATTTGTCATTTGCTATGCATGTGCTCAGTTAGGCAGGAAAATGAATCGAGAGCTGTTGGGTACAGAGCATCACTGTACATCGCATCTGAAGTGTAACACAACCTCTGTGCACCCTGCTGCATTAGCCTTTCTGGGCTTTATGATCAGAAATCTCTACTTCAGCCCCAGGGAAGGCTCACCCTGTGCAGCAGTCTCAGGTTCTGCGGAGTCCCAGATCCCCAACAATGGGAGATTTGTTATTTGTATCATTTTGTCCTTTTTTCTCCTTTGTTCGTATGCCTTGGACACGGCACTGAAAGCAGAACCATGCAGGGACGGTGCTGGGGATTTGGCACTGCTCGTTAGATTAAGTTAAAGCCTGTCCACATTTGTCTTTGTTTTTTCCCTTCTGTTCTAGGGTTTACCTGGCCCCATAGGGGAATCTGGTCCAAAAGGCAGTCGGGTAAGCAGCCTTTCATTTGTCTTTTCTCTACTTGTTTTTACCAAAGGCTTCTCAAGAAACTTTATGCTTAATTTTGCAATCCTGAGACTAGTTGCTTTAATTTGTTGCATTCAAGGGTTTTGAACTGCGCACCGCTTGTTTATTGAAGGACTGCTAAATTTTTTAAATTAAACGGAGTATTTTTACAAAGATCAAAGTTCACCAATAGTGCTGATGATACAAAGCCAACCCCTTCAGAGGAGAGGGAAGAATGGCATACAAATTCCTACCAAAGACCAAAGTCTGAACTTTCTGCAAGCCCCCATCTCCCAAAGGCCTCTTTAGTTTCAATAAGTGTGGTTCAGCGGTCTTCGACCGAGCTGAATGTGGGCTCTTTTGGGTATAGTCCTGGGTTTGCGAGTGTTTATATCATTATGCAGGATGGCAAGCCAGCATCTTGAAGCCATGTGCAAATACAAACATTAATATCTGTTCTGCCTGGTTTTGCTCACCAAATTGAATTGCTGGGGGTTCATTCTCACTGCAAAGGATTACTTTTATTTTTTTACCAGTTAAGACTCTGATCAATCACATTTTGTTCTTTTCCTGCAATTATAAATTCACAACGAGATTCTGAGGCAATAAAATCCCCTCTTTCTCTAACACGAGATACTTTCTCTATATCCAGTAAATTCAACCAGCTGGCTTCCATCACTAGGAAAACTGCAAGGAATAAACAAATGCTGACCCTGCAGCTAGCTGTATTCCTGCGCTGGGAAGGGAGATGGCATGTTCAGTGTCCTGCAGGAGAGAGCAAGATCTGAGATAGCACAGCTTGCTCACCTCACTTCTGCAAGTGATAAAGTTGTCCCTGGTGCATCTGTTTCACTGCCCAAACCAGGACCTCATATAATTATCATGTGGTAGATGTGCAGAATGTAAGACTTGAAAATTGTTTTCCGCTTTGCACCCCTGAGTGCTGGGGACTGAAATATTTATAGCTACCTGAGAAAGCCATTCTCAGTTCAACTGCAGTCAATCAGAACCGGGACTAGGTGAGATATCTGCATTTTGTGGATTGAGGGAGCCGACTGTGGATGCTTCTCCACTTCCCACCTCTATTTTTCCTTCTCCAGGTAGTAGCTCAGGAGTCACAGAGTTTGTCGGAGGCAAAGGCAGATAGCATCATTTTAATGTGGCTATATTTCCCGGCCAGATATTATCCCTGAAGGAAGCGCAAGCTAAAGGGAACGATGGACTGGTAGAAAAAGTTTGGTGGGGTTGACAGTAAGAGATTTAGTGATGATGGAGAAAGAAAGATGAGAGAAAAATCAGTGTTAACACTCGGCTCCTGTAACAGTGAGGTGCCACTGAGGGGGCTCCCTGCTGAAATTCACTTCCTCTTGATTCTGCATGTTTGGCACAAATTAGTCCTTTGCAAAGGACCAGCACACAAGGTAACTTTGTACTAACTGCTGAGCAAAGAGGATTAAACACAAGGCTCCAATTGTTGCAAGGGAAGGGAAATGTCGCATTTGTGTCCTGTCTGAGCAGGATCCCCGGGCGGTAGGGAAACATCGCGCCCTTGAAAACGCGACGCCTGCTGATGAGTGTGAAAGGAGCAGATTTTGTGTGAAGCACAGTGGTGTGACGGAGGCTTCTTTACAGGTCCTTGTCAGAGGATCTGTACGTATGTACAAGTTGAGCCTCGTACGCCGATCCAAAGAGCCTGAAATGGCACGTTCGGCCTCTCCCTGGCCAGACAGGGCCCTTGGTGCTTGGGTTGACAAAGTGTTTGCAAAAGGTCTTGGTGGTGCAACAGAGTTTGCAGGGAAAGGCTTTAGGCAGAACCATTACTGATTCGCTCCTCTCTGAGCAACGGGGTGGTCGGCAGCCTTGCGTCCCAGGAGAAGGTGGTGTTTGCGTGAGAAGAGACTGCAGTGTGTGACCACCGTAAGACAGGCAGAGAGGGCTTGGTACAACAGGCCATTTTTACAGCACAGTTGGGAATGAGTGCCAAAGGCAGGGAAAGATCCCTTGGAGAGATGAAAGGAGGTGTAGGCATGTGGATTCCTTTGGCTATCACTCTCACTAACCTTGAACCAAGCTCCATTTCCCTCAGGTACACTCAGAGCCAGCCCAGGTAAGGTTTCTTCTTGCTGGCCTCTTCCTGCCTGGAGTCCTCCTGATCCCTGGTGTGAGGGTATGTGCCCTTGGACTACATCGTGGAAGCCAGCACCATGCAGTCCATGGGCATATACACTTGCCTCAAGGTTTATTTCATCACGGCTGCCATTGACCAACGCTGGATGATGCTCTGCTCTTCAGGAAAGACAGACTGACTGTCTGCTAATGGAGAATGTATTTGACTACTTGTTTCCTCTTTTCTTTAGGGGTATATTGGTCTCCCAGGCTTATTTGGGCTACCAGGGGCTGATGGAGAACGAGTGAGTATTTTGTGAAGAAAACCTTGGTGTGTTGCTTGAATACAGTTCTTCAGAGCGTGTTGTAACCTTCTCTATCCCTTGTTCCTGAGGAAAGAGGCAAGCATGCCTAATGTTTAACCGTGCCTTCTGTAGCCTGTTTCTAGCCTTGCATGAAGACCTGTGTCCCTGTGTGATGTTGACATTCAGCTCAGGAAAGCCTAGGCTTCAGACAGGGTCATCAGACCTCACTGTTGAGTAGAGAGGAGTTTTTCTATATTTTCCTTCACTCAAAACCTGCCCTCCTCCTCCCCCTTACTAGTTCATCTTAGTGGGATGGGATGGGGGACGGAATACGTGTGGAAGTTCCCAGCTCCCACAAGAGTGACATCCCAGCGACAGTGTCCCAGCATTTTGTGTGTCCAGCTGGAGGTGTCTGGAAAGAGCCTGGCTCTTGGAAGGGACAGGGCCTGGGACTTTGTGACAATGGCTTTCCTCCCAGTTGCATTGAGTTGTGCAGTCAGGACTGGGGCCTGTGGACGGGCAGCTGTGGCTACTGTTCCCATGTGTCCTCCTTCCCCCCGCCATCCTTTTCATCGTGCTATTCATTCTCCAAACCCACGTGTTCAGAGCTTTGCAAGACCTCCCTTGCTTTTTTGCTCTTCTCCCCCACGTCCCCCCACCTGCCTGATCTCTACCCATCCAAGGATCCCTTCTTCCCACTGCAAGAGCTCCTAAGGAAGGTTGCTGTAAGATGTTTTATTCCAGCTTTTTCTCCCTCAAATGCAAACTCCAGAAGCCAGAGAGGCCCCGGGAGCATGTGGGAGTGAGTGTGTGTGTGCCTGCCTGGGAGGGGACTACCCTGTGCTCTAGAGTCGCTGATTTAATGCTTGTATAACTAAATAAGAAACATAAACAGAAGTTCTCCAGCGAGTGCCTTGGCGGTGGCCTTCATTCGGTTCCAGACCAGTAGCTTAATGATTGCTCCTGCTAAGCACAGCTTCAGCCTGTTGCCCTGGGTGTGGATGCTGCCTCTGTGTGTCCTCAGGGAGGGCTGTAGTTAGTGGGTGAAGGTTAATTGTCTTCTGCTCTCGCAGCTGACTGCAAGTAGCTGACATTTTGATTCCTGAACAATGCTGCAGTCATTAGCCTGTTTTGCATTCCCCTTTCTCTTCTAGTTTTGTTTTGTATTGTTGGTTGGCTGTTTGCTTTCTCAACCAGACCTATTATTTTTTTTTCTCTGTGTGTTTTCCTTGCAGGGGATCCCTGGAGTTCCTGGGAAGAGGGGCAAGATGGGTAGGCCGGTAAAGTTTTTCCTCGTCTATTATGCGACTTTGTTGAATGAAACTGAAGCAAAACATCTGGCTTTTGGCTGGGTCCCCTCATATTTTCTGTTGAGAACTAAATGGGGAGATCTGACAGACCTTTCCATGTCTCTTTTCTCAAGCAGGAAGAAAACTGAAGATACAAATGTTGTTCTCTTCCTTTCTTCCATGCTCTGCCCACTTCACAGGCATTTTTGTTCTTTTTCGCACTGTCTCCGCGCTCCCTTGGATCTTGCACTTCTCAGGTTCTCTTCTGCAACGTCTGCCCCTCTGTCCTCCCTCTGGCCAGCCTCTTCCCTGAACACACTTTGTAATTCCCCACCATGATGGTAGCATCCCGGGTGTCTGTGCTCGCTCTGTTGTATCTACTGCTCTGTGCTCCCACCAGTCCCATCACATTTGCCTCTGCTGTGATTCTCTCCAACCCTTGTAGCATCCTGGTTTGTATAATGCACGTGCACTTTTGTATAGAAACCTTTTTGTCCTTGGTGGTTGTACAGAGTTAAAGCAGTAGCAGATCAGATGAAGACATGTTTGAGAAACAAGGAGACCAGGTAGATTTGAGAGCTTGGCCAGGAGGAAGAGATGTTTGTAGGTAAGGCTGAATACAGGCTGGAAACTGTGAGAGCTGCATAGAAGAAGAAGGGGGTTTGTGCTGACTGTAGCAAAAAGCACAATGAAAGCAGGTGGGAAAAGGACTGAAATCAGAGAATCATAGAATGGTTTGGGTTGGAAGGGACCCTAAAGATCATCTAGTTCCACACCCCCTGCCATGGACCGGCACACCTTCCACTAGACCAGGTTGCTCAAAGCCCTGTCCAACCTGGCCTTGAACACTTCTCTGGGCAACTGGTGCTCATGCCTCACCACCCTCACAGTGAAGAAATGAGTAGAGGAAACAGTGAAAGGACAGAGAGGAAAGCCTTTCCCACATCAGCCTTCCTCCAAGCAATTCTGTGTGCTTCCTTTAGCAAAATGTATAAAAATTTTTGCTCCAGGAGTCAGCGGAGAGATCAGGCACGTTCGTGCTCTGGTGTGTCTCATTGCCTTTGCACCTTGTTCTTCATGTTAGCCTGAGTTTCTCTTGATCTCTTGACATCATTGCACTCACAGGCTTCTTGTAAAATGTCCAGTCACCCACACACGGAAAAATCCAGTGCTCTCCCCTTGTCACCCTCGCATGCGAACGCATGCTTTCCAGAGGTCCCACGCCTACCGCTTGCTGGTGTTCTCACAGTAAAAGCCACACAAACATCCCAGCAGTGCCACATTCATCCCGGCAGGCTGTTCTCCTCTCCCTGGGACAGAGGGAGGCCGAGCAGATCTTTTTGGGGGTGTCGTGGAAATCTGTACCAGATCTTACCATTTTGTAAGCTGCTGGTTGCACCAGAAACCTCTGTGATGAATAACTGCAGGGCGCCCATCGATGTAAGGGTGACTCATTGACCAGAGTAAAACAAACAAAGCAACTGTCGTTAGGTACGTGGTTTCTGCTCTCTGCCTTGTTTCTGCCCAGAGCATGCTGGAGGCTCAAAGCGTTCCAGCTGTTGTTTGGCTAGCATTTGTAATCTTCCAGGCAAGAGTTTTGGTCTGGCGGTCGCTGTTACAAACAAGGGGCTCCCCTGAGATCAGCGGGGAATCTCTCAACCGTGGAGGCATTTAGGCTGGGATCTAGAGAAGGGATTAAATGGCTGCACGTGAGCACCTTTGTTCTACTCGGCTCTTTCAGAGTTTTGGCTCCATCCCCATTTCATGATATCAGGTTTAATATGAAATCTTGAATGGAACGATGCTGATGATTTGTACTTCCGAGCGCGAGCAAAAAGATTAAGTGACATCCAGAGTTATTCAGGAAGTCACTGGGAGAATGGAAAGTAGGAACCAGCTGACCTGGTTCCCTTCCCAACACTTATCTCCTGGCCTGTGCTGTCTCCCAGCTGGTTTGCAGTGTTAGTGAGCCTGCTGTGATTTTTCTGGTCTCTCGCATCCCCCGCGCCGCTAGGTTTGCTGGCACGGCTACTGGTCCTGTTCTATTTCCGTGCTGTCATTGCAGCGGGGAACTTTGGACGCCCGTATTAGCTGCCATCCAAGGCTGGTAAATGCTCTGGAGAGTAGGGAAGGAGTTGGTATCAATCACATTTCTCTCTCTGGTTTTGTTTGGGAGGAGAGACGGCGATGAAGTGCTCGGCAGAGGAGGAGCGGGGGGCTGGGGGAGTTTGCATGTGACACCGTGGGCCCCCGAGAATGATGTAAGAGGGAATGATTAAAATAGAAGAACTGGACATGAGTCAGATCTTGAACCCCTTCCAGGGAAGTTAAGTTTTGCAGAGCTATGAGGGACATGGTGAAACTGTCTTGGAAACAGCGGACCCCACCTCCCGCTCTGCTCTCCGTGCAGCGCATCAGCAGCGCAGGAGGCGAGCGCGTCTCTGACCGATGGGCGCTGGCGAACTCGTGAGCAAGGAGAGGGCCGGGGGTGAGCTAGGGAGAGAATTACGATTAGACTACAATGCACTAGGGAGACTGAAATAACACGAGTCTGTACGTCTCTGGATCTGCTGCCTGTTTCAGAGGTAGGCTGGAGGCCTGGAGCTGAAGCGGCCGGTTGCTTAAGCCTTTGGTCTTGCCAATGCAGTGGCTGAAAAGAATGGCTTTTTATGGTGTTTTGGGGGATTTTGTGGTGTTCAGTTGAGCAGCTAGCAAAAAAAAAAAAAAAAAAGAGGATAAAAAAAGGTCTAATTGCTGTGAGGGCAGCAGGGCTGTGATCCACACCATGCTGGGGGAAGGAATGAGACAAACTGTTGTCACCCTCTATCGTGACATGTGTAGGCGATAGAGCAGTCCTAGCTCATCTTTAGAAAGGTCACTGAAGAAGGTAACCCACAGGAAGAGGAGATGCAGCTAGTCATCATTCAAGAAGCACAAAGCTGAGAGCGATATGCTTTTCTTATGCTGTTGATATCTTTCTTATGCTGTGGGAGATGGGTAGCTACAATCAGAAATCTCTGCATTGCAGATTATATTAAACTTCAAATAGAGTGTAATATTTTCAGAAGTTCTCAAGCCCTGTTAGAGAAGGAGTCTTAAAGGGGAACTTTCAGGAAATATATCCGAAGAACTTTGAGCTCTTTTTTTGTTCATCTTCGTTATTGATGAGTACTTGTGTCTCTTGTTCTTTTTTTACATAGAATATTAATACTGCACCAGCTGCAGTATCTTGGGCCTGATTTTTGCTTGCAATCTGTTTTGTCAGTAGTATTATTTTAAAAGAGGTAGAAAGGAAGGAGTAAAGTTTAGTGCCAAGACATACTTAGTAATTCTTGGGTTTATCTGAAATCTAGTCACCATTCAGCCAAACACAGCTGAGGTTTCCTTATATTTTTCTGAGAACCTGTTGGTCGGTGCTGCTGGTCCCATGCCTGGAGCTCAGTTGAGCACTCAGACCCTCACCGTGTCAGGTACCGTGCAAACACCTCCTGAAAGAAAAACCCAAAGGGTCCATCAACGAGGTCCATCAACGAAAGCGTTACAAAACAGCACAGCATCAGGCCACCCCCAGGGCTGGAAGGTTTAGGTAACAGTAGCATGAGCAAGTCATTAACATCACAAGCCGGCATTTTGGTTTCCCTGCCTGCCTAGCTGTGCTCATCGTTACTCTTCTTTCTTTTGTCCTCCAGTAGCTCACGTTTGTGAGCGATGCGCTGCGGCATCCCACCAGCTGTCGGGTGGCCTGGTGGGGGTTCCTGCCACCTCCTAACCTCAGGCAAGGGAGGCAAACGCCTCCCGACAGCACAAGCTCTGCCATCCGGCTCTGCACAGCCTTTGGCAAGAGCCAACGTGATGCGAAGTGCTGCTCCGAGGAGAGAGCTTGGCGGGTGGAACAGACTGTGTAAGTCGCAGGCACAGAGGGATGGCTTGCGCTTGGGATGTGTGGCCAGGACGGCTGACACCTCTGCCTGCGGGAACGGTCGGAGTCTGCCAAGGCCAGATGGGGAGATGCTGCGTTGCTCGGTGACTGCACAGGAGGAGGAAGAGGATATGGGACCTGGTTTTCCCCCGTGGCTACTTCAGACGAGCTGTTTGGCTGTTCTTGGCTGTGCGCAAAACGGGGGTAACACACTCTGCTCTCCTTTGAGCTCACTAGCTGACATTTAGCATGTAAATGCTAAGGATTACTGCTCGGATGTCAAGGAAGAGCTGCTATAAAGTGGTGCGTGGATTTGAAGTATTCGGGATCAGCGCATAGGTGAGTCCAGAAGTCTCCCTTCCCTCTGCCTGTCAGCCACAATGTGGAGGCTCTGAGAGCCAGCAGTGATCTGGCAGCCACTCTAACGTAGGCTCAGTATTTGTTGTGAGCATCAACGCGGTGGCAAGCTGCCGAATCTGGCATCCGTTTTCCATGAGCTGACCACAGTTGGGGTCCCCCTTGCCAGCTCTCAGCTTGTAATGCGGCGGCGCCTTCTTGCCAGGCTATTTTTCATGTCTACTGTCTTCTTCTGTGATGACTTATAAAGTTAATGTCTTAACTCTTGCCCCAGTGAACACCAAGTTCTTTTTTCTTCATCTGATGGGTTGTTAGAACAGTATGTGATAGTCCTGCACTCCCCACCTGTACGGGTAGGCTGTTGCATCCTGTGAAAAGACATTGCCTTGTGGGAAACACCAGATAGCAAAAGGCAGGGCTGCCTTTGGGTTAGGAAAGTTTCGTTTTACAGCTTCCCCCAACCTTTTGACATATGGCTAAGATAACTTAGTGGTGAACTTAAGTGCATGGGGCTTTGCCAAGTTACACAGTCTGAGCTGTTGTCCATGCAAACAATGGGGGACGCGTTTTGCCATGTGTCTGGAAAGGCTGGCATAACCGCAAATTACTGAGAAAATTAATTTTGCTCCTCTCTGTAGGGACTAAGATGATAAACAACTCCCCTCTTCTTGCGCCAGTCTTTTCTCTGCTTTGGATGTAGCTGAGGTCCTTCCTTGTGTTTGGAGTGAACCAAGCGAGAGTTTCCTGCACCACACAAGTTGAGATTTGGGAAACTGGTAACAGCATTTCAAAGTACCTCTTCTTTAACAAATAATTGCCAAACTCCAGTTGACCTGAATGGGGTCCCTGGGGGTGCAAAGAGGCAGCCCATATGGCTTTTCTCATGACTTAGGCATACACTCTAAGAGCTCTCACCTACAGCACTGACTATCATGGCTCACATGGGCTGCTAAGGGTCCAGCCGTGTCTCTTTTGTCACTGAGACCTTGTTACCTACCAAAAAAAAGGAGAAAGAATGGAGCTGTAAACACTAAGAAACATTTTAAAGAAATACTGACATTAAAATTGAAAAATGTCTAAAGAAGTAGGGATAAATTTCTGAAACTAAGTAAGTTTCCCACTCAGCAAGGTGGCAGTTCAGTGTGTTGGTCCACAAGCCATTTCCTAAGGTTTGAAAGAAATAGGAGTGATTTTTAAACTGATCCTAAATGATGTTATCAGTATATCTCATCAGGAAATAAATAATTTACACTTCCACATAGCTTCACTGCTATCACAGGTCTTATTCACCTGAGCACTTGGTGAACTCATCCTCCAACCCATAAAGCACTCCTTCCAAACTGGTGTCCCAGTTCAGGTACAGCTGTGCATATAGAGGTGCACTTCCAGATGTGGCCAACTAAAGTTAGTGGAGAAAAGTGCAGGCTGAGGACCAATTTGTAGAGGCAAAGCCACAAGATGAGCTGCAGGAAGGAGCACAAATGGCTTCTAGGAGTCAATGGACAGGATGCAGGGAGCTCTGTCTTGTGCCAATAGCCCAGCACAGCACAAAAATTTTGGCGCTATGGCTTCAGGAACTGATTGATTTAAAAAAAAAAACAACATGCTTTTAATCATTCTGTTTGCATGAAAAGTCAAGTGTAAGTCCTGAAAATTAATAATCAACAAAGCTCCTCTTACTGAGAGAGTTTTAGCCCATGAATTGGATTTTTTCTGTTAGCCATCTAAGTAAATTCTTCGCTATAATTTTTCTTTATTAGCCTAAATTTTTAAAATAGCTTTGGTTTGAGCAATCAGTGATTTTTTTTAATGCTTAAGCTGGATGCTGAAGCTGGGCAGCTGGTCTCTCTTCCCCTCAGGGCCTGGTTCACCACTCTGAAATGCAGGCACGAGCCCAGAGCAAAAGTCACCATCTCTTTTTGGCCTGAGTTCTGTTCCACATGTCTGGAGTTTCCCAAATCTCTGTGGCGAGGTGCTTGCATGGTTACTTATCAGTCTGGTATCGGCACATGTTGATATGTTCATGATTACATCATCCAAGTAACCTGGCAAGGTGGACAATATTAGCGTGTATTTCATTTTTTAAGGAGTGGGCAAAACAAAGTACTGAAAACAGAGAGAAGAGGAGTTCAAATGTGCCAAGGCCCATAACTTCTTCTGAAAGAGAAGAAACAAGCCCAAAGACGGGTTTTTTCCAAGAATGTCCCTAAGCGACTTGTCCATCGTCATTCAAAAAGCTCGTGAAGAATTGAACAAAGATCTCCCAAGCACAAGAGCATCTTTCTTCCTTCAGGGAAATGTTCATTCATAAATCAGATCAAGGCCCCAAAATTATTTTCCTTAGAAATTATAAGTAAAAAATAATGCAACTATTGCTTTTGAGTCTGAAAACATTTTGATCACCAAAGCTGATTGACTTTCTTAAATAGGAGGCTGCTTGATTTGGAAATCTTGGCCATAAATAATTAGGAGCGTTGGCAGAATCAGCGCTTTTCAGCGTTAGGTAATTGGTTTTGTGTAATCTGCACTCTGTTACAGCCCCGCAGCATGGAAGAGATCATACACATGTGTAAAAGGAGCAAAGCAGATGGTCAAGAGGGTGGAGGGGCTGGCAGTTAACTTCAGTGATGTTTGGTCAAAGGGGCTTCAGGGTTCATGTTTGGGTGGAACTGGCTGCCCTGGAAGGCTGTGGTCCCACAGCTGGAGGGATAGTTATGTTAAAAAACACCATGAAATCTTTATCCAAAGAGGACGTGACACAGAGCTGTGAAGTCTCCCAGGGAGAGAGAGCAAACCTGCCTTTTGGGTGACACAGGAGCAGAACTGCAGCAGGACCGCCAGTCCCGTACCCAGCCGAGGATGGCATCCCTCTTCTTTGCAGGGATGAACGCTGTCACAGCCCTGGGTCTAGACTGAGCAGAAGGCAAGGGCTCCCGCGTAGGTGCGTGACTTCAAGCCAGCGAGCAGGCAGGCCGGGAGCACAGGGTTTGCCAGGCTCCCCTTAGGGTGACTCTTGCCGCTCTGGGAACCAGCGCTGGGTCTGAGCCAGCCTGCTTGCCTTCGCGCCCACCTGTGGAGGGGCTCACGGCCGCCCTCTCCACCAAGAATGCTCTCAGAGGCGTAAGCTGCCAACATAAGCTACAATTGTTTATTTTATTCTCCTCCTTTTTTTCCAGTGAATGCCTTCTCT